CCCCCACCCCCCGAAAGAAGCAGACAGAATAGATTACCGAATGTCTAAAACAATTCAAAAAACTAATATTTCTTCTATGAATGTGCAAATTGCTTTACGTGTAAATGCAACATCAAATCGCTGTGTATTATATGTACTGTGCGAAGTCCAATGATTATGTCTCTATAATGAAACGAACAACAGAAATTCAACGCAGTTGACTATTTGCGACAAGCGTTTTCATTAGTTTATTGGAATATATAGCGTATCAAATTGTTTGGTTGGGTGTACCTTTGTTATATAATATAGATTTAGCACAAAACCGTACTCTTGTAGGACAAAACAAAACATCATCACACTGTCCTCATCGATATCTGGCCATGCAACGTTAACGTAACGGCTGTTTCTACAAATCACGGGTATTGACAACTTAGACATATTGGAACGGCTCGAGTGACGTCATCGCTAAAAATGGTTAAACTAACTGCACCTGAAACAGTTTGTATGACGACATGTTCTAGCACTATCTGTAGATACATTGGATTGCTCTACCAGCGTTATTGCACACAAAGTAAACATAATCAGCTTATTGCAATAGGTTCGTGTAAATAACAAGCTACAGATAAGCACCGCCATAACATAATTATATATATATATATACATATCTAAACAGCACACAACCGTCTAGAGTTATCGATCCTGTCATTCAAAACAATATTGGTCGGGTCACGTGACCGGCATCACCCGCAAAACAATGAAAACATTAGCAAGTGATGGAAATGGCGTTTGTAATCAGAAGACGAGCGGACAATCCGCGCTAATGTTCGTGTTCGTAAGTTCGTAAAACACGTTTTTGATCACTCGATTCACCGGAACAGATCTTACTGCGAAAACAAAATGGAAGTCTTTCTTTCGCTAATTGTGTTTGTCAATGTCGGGGAAATGTCTGATAGGTGTCCATGTTGAACAGGAAGATCGGACACCTTTGTAACGCCCGACTGTAACCTGGACTGAACAGGAGGATCGGACACCATTGTAACGCCCGACTGTAACCTGAACTGAACAGTAGGATCGGACACCTTTGTAACGCCCGACTAACCTGAACTGAACGGGAGGATCGGACACCTTTGTAACGCCCGACTAACCTGAACTGAACGGGAGGATCGGACACCTTTGTAACGCCCGACTAACCTGAACTGAACGGGAGGATCGGACACCTTTGTAACGCCCGACTAACCTGAACTGAACAGGAGGATCGGACACCTTTGAAACGCCGGACTGTAACCTGAACTGAACAGGAGGATCTGACACCTTTGTAACGCCGGACTGTAACCTGAACTGAACAGGAGGATCTGACACCTTTGTAACGCCGGACTGTAACCTGAACTGAACAGGAGGATCGGACCCCTTTGTAACGCCCGACTGTAACCTGAACTGAACAGTAGGATCGGACACCTTTGTAACGCCCGACTGTAACCTGAACTGAACAGTAGGATCGGACACCATTGTAACGCCCGACTGTATCCTGAACTGAACAGGAGGATCGGACACCTTTGTAACGGCCGACTGTAACCTTAACTGAACAGGAGGATCGGACACCTTTGTAACGCCGGACTGTAACCTGAACTGAACAGGAAGATCGGACACCTTTGTGACATACGACGGACGTAATACCACGACATAAGCTTCCCTGCCTTTTGGGCTTGTGACCTACATCAATGTCACATTGTATCGCACGAACAGACACCTTGTAAGCTGTTGTCTTATAATTAGTCACATAACCTTGTAGTGTCCGTAGCAAAGGGCCATAAAACTCCATATCTTCATATCATAAGGTGATCATCTATCTTGCTAGCGTCCGTATCACAGGACGACCAGACGCCTTCTATAACATCTGTATAGGACGAACAAACACTTTTGATGACGTCAGTACCGGACTCCATTACAGGGCGAGCAAATATCTCGGTAGCGTCCGTTTCAAAGAGCCAAAAGCCATTCTGAGATTCGGCGCTCGCGGAGTCGTTTGTCAAACTTTGTGTCGATGCCGTGGCTCTGTAGAATGGAAGTAAGCTGATTGTTTTGCTCGACTTCGGCGGCAATGTCCTCTTCCTCCGCCCCTTCCGCTATTGATGGGGCAGATGGTTTAAGCCATGTGTCACTAAGGTATTTCTTTACTTCTTTCACATTACACCTCCTTTCCACTTTACTTTCCAATGTTTTACGGAAGAATCTGAGAATTCTTGGCGTAAATTTTCTCCATTGGGATGGAATTTTTGTACATTTCCGTTTTTGCCACAGAGAAAATTCATTATAATATATATCGCTTATTTCTGCGTTTTCCCACGGAAAATTACCTGTCAACATGCAGAATAATAACACGCCAAACGCCCACACGTCACCAATGGAGGTCACCGTTATGCTTTCGTTTTTAACCGCTTCGCACACTTCCGGTGGAGTGTAGGGTATGCTTCCATTCACCTTGCGTAAAACAAGTCCCTCTTTCCGCGTCATACCAAAGTCAGTTAGCTTTACTTTGCTGAAGTCTTTCTCGAAAATAAGAATATTTTCAGGTTTGATATCCCTGTGGACGAGATCGTTACTGTGCATGAAGTCAAGAGCGGCTGAAACCTGTTTGATGACGTTTTTCACGTCCTTTTCCGCCATTCCTTGCTGCGGAGGAATTTTCTCAAATAAATCACCGTACGGGGCATATTCCTGTGCAAACACAAAGGCTGTTCTGGTCTCAAATGCCACATTGTACGTGTCAACAACATTGCTATGTGGTGAAAGGAAGTAGCTGAAGCGAAATTCCCGCTCAAACTCGCGTAACTTGGTATTGCTCTTTGGCAGAACTTTTAATGCAACGTTTTTTCCTGTTTCTTTACATTTTGCGAAAAGCACCTGGCCGTATGTGCCCCTCCCGAGCTCCTTTGTGACGTCATAGTGGTCCTTGAGAGTAAGTCTGAGTAAATTATCGGCCGTGCTACAGCGCGGGGATCTGGGAATGACCCGGATGGAGTCGGATTTAAGTTCGGTCATCATCTTGTAAACCGTTTGTTGTGTACTTCACTGCAAAGTAAAGAAAAATATGTAAGAACCACAGTCTTGCTAAGGTCACATTGACATATAGATATAGATATTGAGAATTCAGATGCAGTGTCCATATTTGACCATACTGTCGTAATTACTTATGAGGCGGCTGTATACATTTAGTTCATATGTTACCATGGAAACTAGTTTAAATGAAGCTAGAGTAAACCATACAGCGCGAAGAAAAATCACAGTAAAAACTTCGATATAATGCCCCATTTCATTTGCCACCTCATTTACTGCTACCATATTTCAAGATTTCCTTATCCGTATATTTCGTTATACCGCCAACCTCATAATAACGCCAGTTAAAATGTCTCTAGAGAGGAGTTGACAGTATAACGAGGTTTAACCGTGCATGCACCCTAATAGTACTGGCTCCGTGCAAACGAATTGCACAGTAAACCTTTCTGTCACGAGCTGTTCTCATTTGCCTTATGGACTGTTGACATTTTTACGGATCCGCAATGATTATGTCGACTTAATGCTTAAAGCCTTTCTGTGCAAAGCTAAGGTAAGACTACTTATCCAAGATTGACCGACTTTATGAACACAACACATATATACGACCTTCATTCTTGGTTTAATAAGAAGTAACCGCGAGCGTAACGAGTCATGTGTTTATATTGAGTGTCCGAGTCGTGTGTTTATATTGACTGTCCGAGTCGTGTGTTTATATTGACTGTCCGATTCGTGTGTTTATATTGACTGTCTGGGTCGTGTGTTTATATGGACTGTCCGAGTCGTGTGTTTATATTGACTGTCGAGTCTTGTGTTTATATTGACTGTCTGAGTCGTGTGTTTATCTTGACTGTCTGAGTCGTGTGTTTATAGTGACTGTCCGAGTCGTGTGTTCATATTGACTGTCTGAGTCGTGTGGTTATATTGACTGTCTGCGTCGTGTGTTTATATTGACTGTCGAGTCGTGTGTTTATATTGACTGTTCGAGTCGTGTGTTTATATTATTATTGACTGTCCGAGTCGTGTGGTTATATTTACTGTCTGAGTAGTGTGTTTATATTGACTGTCTGAGTCGTGTGGTTATATTGACTGTTTGAGTCGTGTGTTAATATTGACTGTCTGAGTCGTGTGTTTATATTGACTGTATAAGTCGTGTGATTAAAATGACTGTCTGAGTCGTTTGTTTATATTGACTGTCTGAGGCGTGTATTTTTATTGACTGTCTGAGTCGTGTGTTTATATTGACTGTCTGGGTCGAGTGTTTATATTGACTGTCTGGGTCGGGTGTTTAGGAGATACACCTGAACATGTTGAGATATACCTGTAAATATAGAGTACACCTGTACATGTTGAGATATACCTGTAAATATAGAGATATACCTGTACATGTTGAGATATACCTGTAAATATAGAGATATACATGTACATATTGAGATATACCTGTAAATATAGATATACCTGTACATGTTGAGATATACCTGTAAATATAGAGATATACATGTACATATTGAGATATACCTG